TAAAAAGGAATAGATGTTTAATGAAATTGCTAATTAAGTTGGCTTGCCTAGCTCCTATTAGTAGGCGCCATCACGACCCCTCGAGGGTGGGAAAAATCCGGGTCGTGACATAGTACTGATTTGATTTTGGCTTGGGCTTTTGTTAGCATTATTTAATTTACTAATATTAATGGCTATAAAACTTATTGGAACATTCAAAAGTTCTAAGTCCAACCTTGAAATAATACCTTAAAAGATAAAATTATGAAAAAAATTAAGAAATATTTATAAATTACATCACAATAAGTATATTTATATATTAAATATATCTAAAATTTCTATATATGTAATGTCGGGTTGGTTTGGTTTCGATTTGACTTTCTTTAGTTAAAACCAAACCAAACCAATTATGGTCGGGTTTTTTTTTCCAATACCAAACCAAATCAAACCAAACCATAGTCGGGTTCTTTTTCTCGGTTTGACTCGGAGTATCGGGTTGGTGCGGTTTGTCGGTTTCCTTTGTACACCCCTACCGGTGAGTAAAGTGATGCTAGGTGTGAATTCGGCAAAGTTATGCAGCCATGTTTGGGTACAACGTGTAGTGATTGATATGGTGATCTTATGTTAGAAACAGGTCGGGCATAGAATTTCGAATGTTGGAATTGGGCTCTAAGGCTTATTTGCTTGAATAAAAGGGAATATCTTCAGAATTGATCGAGCTGATGTGCTCAACTGAGTTGTGGTAGCACGGGAAGGTGCATGAGAAGTTAAACAAGTGATTTCAGACTACTTCAGTGTAGTTCTCAGCACGTTCGAGGACGAACGTATATTTAAGTGGGAGAGAATGTAACGACCCGACCGGTCGTTTTAAGACCTAGCGCGTCATTAAGCAGTCTGAGGCCATGAGCAGCTTTATTTCAGGTATTATGACTTGTATGCGTGGTCGGAATTAAATTCCGGGAAGTTCGGAGTTGATTTGGAAAGAGAATTCTCATTCGGAAGCTTAAAGTTGAAAGAATTAACTAGGATTGGATTTTTGAGTAAACAACCTCGGAATCGGGATCCGAAGGTTCCAGCAGGTTCGTATGATGATTTCGGACTTGGGCGTATGCCCGGATCGGGTTTTGGATGACCCGGGGGCGTTTTGGCGCCTATTGTGGAAAGTAGCATTTTGAAAGAAATTTCATAAGTTTGGGTTGAAGTGCATTTCAGTGATATCAATGTCCGTTTGGGATTCCGAATCTGGGAGCAGCTTCGTATGGTGATTCTGGAGTTGGGAGCGCGATCGGAAGTGAATTCGGAGGTCCGTAGGTCATTTTGGAGCCATTTGGCTAAAGATAGAAATTTGAAGGTTTTTGAGAAGTTTCACCAGAAGTGGACTTTTTGATATCGAGGTCGGAATCTGATTCCGAAAGTTCGAGTAGGTCCGTAATGTCGAATATGACTTGTGTGCAAAATTTGAGGTCAATCGGACGTGATTTGATAGATTTAAGCATCGAAAGTAGAAGTTGGAAGTTCTAAAGTTCATAAAGCTTGGATTAGGGGTTGATTCATGATTTTAGTGTTGTTTGATGCGATTTGAGGCCTCGAACAAGTCCGTAATGTGTTTTGGGACTGGTTGGTGTGATTGGTCGGGGTCCCGGGGGCCTCGGGTGTGTTTCGGGTTGTATCGCGCTCTTATTTGATGTTTCAACGTCGTCTTTGGACATAAAGGGGTTCCATATTAAGCAAATTAGCTCCAAATTAAGTTTTTATTGAGCCATTAGATCTGTATCGTAATTTCGGAGCCAACGAAAAAAGAATCGTCGAATTTGGACATCGTATGACGGAGTTATGCTCATTTCCGTGTCGAGAAAAGTGCTGGTTGCTGTCATAACCGCAGATGCGGAAATTTTCCGCAGATGCGGGACCGCAGATGCGGAAATTGCTGGAGGCAGAGAGGTTTCTTTAAAAATCGAAGTTTGGCTCATTTTCACTTCATTTCTTCCACGGGAGCCGATTTTGGAGCAACTTTGGAGTGCCATTTTCATCACCAAGCATGGGGTAAGTGATTTCTACTAGTTTTGAGTATATACAAGGTTTATATATGGATTTAGACTTGGAAAATTGTAGAAAATTTGAGGTTTGAGGGAAAACCTAGAAAACTAGTATTCTTGGATTTTGACCACGATTTTGGGTATGGAATTTAGAGAAAATCATATATTTGAGTTCGTGAGGCCATGGGTAATCTTTATCTTCGAAAAATTTTGGATTCCGGGCACGTGGGCCCGAGGGCATTTTTGTCAACTTTTCGATCAGGGTTAGGAATTGTTATAAATTGTATTATAATGAGTACCTTAGCATATATTAATGGATTTACATAATTATTGGCTAGTTTTGGAGCGTTGTGCATCGATTCAAGTCTTCGGAAGGGCGTGGAATGCCGGTTATGGACCTTCGGAGCGAGGTAAGTCTCCTTTCTAACCTTGTAAGAGGGAATTGTGCCCATAGGTGAGTTAATTGGTTATGTGCTCCTATTTGTGGGGGCTACGTACGCACGAGGTGACGAGAGTCCGTGCGTAGCTACTATTATGCTATTGTCCGGGTAGTTTAGGACCCAAAGCATGCTATATTTGGAATATCTGTGACCTTATTGACAGCTTGAATTGCTTAACTCACATTGAATTAGTAGATGAACTTCTAAAAGGATTAAACTTTATTTTCTTAAATGTTTAAAAGAGAAAGTGGCTTTTATTTGAATAAATATTCCACGATAAATTCTTAATTGGCTATCTGAGCATGTATTTCTATGTGTACCTGCGTCGCATGTATGGTTCGCGAGCAGGGTGATTGTTTATCTTATGCTGACCGCGTCGCATGGATAGTTCGCGAGCGGGGTAATAGATGCATCCTCCTATTGGATTAAAAATCATGTTTATAAGAGTCCACGATTTAATGAATTTTTGACATCATTATTGGACCATTAGTAAGTGTCAAAGTCGACCATCTCGTCTCTACTTCTTTGAGATTAGACGGGATACTCATTGAGTACACGTTGTTTTCGTACTCATACTACACTTCTGTGCATTTTTGTTGCACAGGTATATGTAACTCTAGTGGCCTACTGGGCGCAGCAGCACGGATGATTCGGGGACTAGGTGAGTTGCATTATTCGAGGCGGCCCGCAGCTAGTATAGTTCCTTCTAGTATATTGTGTTTACTTTCTGTCCACTGTATTCCGGACGGATGTTGTGTTATATTATTTCTTAGAAATTGCTCATGTACTTGTGACACCGGGTTCTAGGATGTATTTGGGTTTATTCATAAATTTTAAAGGTTGTTAAATGTTTCATTATTTATTCGGAGGAACTTACTATGTATTGTTTTAAATGTATAAAAAAAGTATTTTCGGAAATATTTAAATGAGAATTTGATTAAGTAGTTTGATTGGCTTGCCTGACAGCGATGTCCGGCGCCACCACGACCCTTAGTGGATTTGGGGTCGTGACAGTCTCACATTAGTTGGCGAAAATATTGGGAGGCTATATATAAGGTGTGGAGATCTCTTAATGGTCTGAGAACATTTACCGTGCAGGTTCACTCTAAGGTGAAGAGTGACTTGCTTAATCTTCACTCCAGCGAGCCCATAGTAGCCCTGGAGTTAGGTTATGATGGTCGTAATGAGCTCTTACTATAAAGAAAAATCTCCTCTATTCATAGATGAAGTCCTATCTAAGGGCCTTCGTTGCAAATCTGACATCACCACAGAAAACTTGGTTCTTTTGCGCCTTGCTGGCGGAGCGACATACAACCAAGATTCATTTTATGGGGCTTTCACCTTTGCTCTAGCGAGAGAAAAAGTCTCTCTCTTATAGAGGATTCTAAAAAAACTATTTACTTCGAGAAAGATTTCCCATTTAGCATCTAAGTTTTGTCTCCCTTGCATCTCCAATCGGGCTTGGTGTTTTAAGTTTATAAAGTCACGAAAATGATGCGCTTGAGTTGCTTTTATATCTTCGTAAAAAGGGGAATCATGCGTCTCGACACATAGACTTTGTAAGACCTCCGTGAGAGCGGCTATGTATTTTTTCAAAAATTTGTAGTTTTTTCGACTGAGGCAACGTCAGTTAACTGACGAAAGTTTTCAACCGCTTATTATCAGTAACCCAGTTTGTCAAAATTTTCCTAGATGTCGACAATTTGGGTAGTGTAAGTGCATTATTTATTACTCATTTAACTCTTGAATGTAAATAAAGAAACTTTTTTGTGTATGCAACGATGAAGAGTTCATGTTTTAAAAGAGGCTTGTGAACTCTAAAGCTTTTTCTTCACAGTTCTTCTGCGCTTAAGTTTATCTATTGAATATTTGTTTCTATGAGTTCCAGAATGTAATAGTTTTTTCTGCATGCCCGTTGATGGACAAAATAGTTTTCCTTGTGTGAGATGAATGAGGAGCATTCTGCATTGATATTTGGCACTGGTTTAGAACTAAGAATAATTGGTTAAGCCACCAGGCGTTGTCAATCTAAAGATTAGTATTGAATTGGATTAGGTGTTAAATCATACCTTTTGTATTTTGAATGGAATAAATAAATATAGAGGTCTTTTGCTAGGGAGCACAATGTTATGTAAGTTGTAATATATGCATCCTGTTGATTTAGTGTTTAATTACTTGCCATAAAAATGCCATGACTTAAAATTGAATATGAAGTAACATTAACAAACTTAAAAAGCAATTTCTTGGCATATTTTTTATTCATAGTAAGTATAGCATTATCATTAATTATGTAATAAATAGATCAATATTTTTCATTGTCTCGAGGATCAGGTCATCTTTTGCAGTCTCAGCTGTATAATGGGAACACAGTGACTTGGATTCTCTGTAATCCAAATATATGAATTACATTTAATCAAATGTGACAATACACGTGACAGAGAGACCCGCGCACCAACTATAAATCACACAGGTGTTTCTCTCGAAATTGCTCAGGCTTATTCAGCCAAAACATCTTCTTAATATTCTTCTATATTTGCTTTTTGCAATGGCAAGGAGGACGAGTAGGGGTAGGCAAAAGATTGAAATGAAGTATGTCGAGTCAAAAGAAGCACGCTATGTTACCTTCTCAAAAAGAAAAGCGAGCTTGTTCAGGAAAGCAGAGGAGTTTTCCACTGTGACGGGAGCAGACATTGGTGTTCTGCTCTTTTCACCAAGTGGAAAACCGTGTTCCTATACCTCCACTAGTGTTGAAAAAATAACAGAAAAATTTCGTGAATGGAAACAACAGAATGCTGATGAGGGAAAATTAAGTGTCTTTCAGGCATTTGATGATCTCTGCAAAGATATACAAGATGAGAACGAGAAGGGAAAAAGTCGGGAATTAAGGTATAAGGTGATGTACCCTGGCGCTGAAATACCGCCTGATAAAGAAAGGTTGGAGAAGTTGGTGGAAATGAAGCTGCGGTTGGACAAAATTAATGAAGCAGCAAAAAATCACATTCGGGTCGAGCGACTCAAGATTGATTTAAATGTTGTCCCTGAATATGAAGTGGGGGAGAGTTCGGGAACTCATCATTAATAAACGTGGCTGTGGAAATTGAAGTCCTTGAATTTGGTACTAGTGTTTGGAGGAGAGTTTAGTCACCGGTTATCGAGTCTTTCGTTTGGTCAATTGTTGTCTTTGTTATTGAGTCAGTCATTGTTTGTCTTTCAGTGGTCAAATTATCTGAGGTTTTAGACCACAAAAAGAAGTTTATGAAGTTCTTATTGGTCAGTTGTTGTCTTTGTTATTGTTGGTCTGAGGTCTTTTCATCATGCAAAATTAAATAAAATAAACTCTTCTCCTGTACCAAATATGCCATGGAATTTTGTGCCATCTTTAATCTACTATGATGCTTTGTGTTGTCTAGATTGGTAAACCTATTGAAACCTTTTATTGAACTAGTGAACAATGTGAACTGATATAAAAAAAAATAACCTCTACTACTCATAGGTGTCTTTTCATGGTTCCATCTTCCCCAGTGAATTTGGCGCATTTACACCAAAGCTTGCTATATGTGAGATGGTGGAATCTTTTTAATAAATACAATGGAGTTGAGTTGGGTGTTTGGAAATCAAGCTCCTTACTCATGATAGAAAAATACTTGAGGGCCGTTTAGTTGGTGAGATAAGAGATAACAATTCAAGGGGATTATCTTATCTAGCGTTTGATTGAATTTTTGGATTCCTTGATTAGTTATACCACACTTGTTGTATTATTTTTATCTCACATTGAGAGTGAGATAACAATCCCGAAGTTACTAATCCCGGGATAAGTACCAAAATAACAAAGATGCCCTTCCCAAGGCTCTTTGTTCAAAGTCCTTTAAAATTCAAGGTTAAAATATTTGTTTAACCCAACTTATTTAGTTTAAAATCAAACGCATGTTTTATGTTATATATTGTATATTCATTTTTAATCGAATGAATCAAACATCTATCAATAAAAATATATTCACTAAATAATTATGATATTATTTATTCCTCTTATCATAATTTTGTTATTATAATCCCGATCAAACATCTTCTGCTTTACTTACGTTTGATCAAAATCTCTACTTGACCAAATTGGAAATCTACTTGTAATGTAGGTTTAAGAGCACAATAGAAGCGGGTAAAACGTTGCGGAAATTTGTCCGACACCTTACGACACGAGTTGATCATGATAGCCATGCACCACCTGTGTCTATGTTGCCGAAGGGACGTACCCCTTTCTTTCAAGCGGATTCACGGCATAACAAATAAATTTAACAAGATTAGGATTTGGTATAAATTGCCCAAATTTCACTCTAGTGCTAACGTTTAAAATAATAACTCAAATATATGTTGATATATTGGTAGGTTTCTTTTTTTATTTTCTAGTTCTTTTGGAGAAAACTACAAGTTAGATTAAATGATGCATAATGCAATATAAGTAACAACTTTCCAGATTTTACAAATAAAATGAAGTAACTACAAAAGTTTCTGTAATCAAAGAAATAAGAGTTACTCTTTTCCTCGAAGAAAGTAGGTGAGGACACGAGAGAGATCAGGGGCCATAAGTTGAAAATCAAATTCGTGTAATCTGATTTGTGTAATCTCTCTATGTGAAGTGTAATATAATGTGGGCCTTGAATTCAAAATTCCAAATCAAAAGTTTCATAAAATTGTTCGATGTTTCTTTGAGTCCATTACTTTGGTCACTCATCTATTCAAAATTATCTAGTAAAGTCAATTTTCTTTCGTTTGTGACATCAGAGTTACTTAACTATGCATATAGCACTCAGAAGGTCACTCAATCAGATTTCTTAAACTTTAGATTGTCAAATACATATTTTACCCTCTAAATTATCTACTTTTATCTTCTTCTTTTTTTTTTTTTACTTTTTAAATATTATGATTTTTATTTTTTTTAATCTACATTAAGGACTACCTATAGAACAAATACATTTTCTTTATAAAATAAAAAATAAAAAATTAGTTTTCTAGCTTATAGAATGTTAGAATAATAATATAATTGAGCATAATTTTTAAAAATATATAATGTATAATATAAAAATACCTTTATTTTAAATAATTATATTTTATATTACGTGCATGGAATACGTATTCCACATGTCACGACCCAAGTTCTCCCTTCGTGAATTGTCGTGACGGCACCTAGTCTCTACGACTAGGTAAGCCTAACAATTTGCGGAAAATAAATTAAAGATGCAAAAACTAGCCAACTAGCAGGTAAATATAATAAAAGAGTTTAAAATGCCGCTCGGCATATACAATAACAACACTCTTGAACTGAACATAGCACTCTCAAAATCCGGAATCTCATGAATCACAAGCTAAAGAAGTACATAGTGTTCTAACTCCAGAAGTCTAAACGAAGGTAAATACAAGAAGTCCATAACTGAAGGGAGAATAGAGAGGGATTTCTAGGTCTGCGGACGCGGCAGATATACCTCGAAGTCTCTGGATCGCCTCGCCTCACAGATATTATGGCTGAGCAGAAGAACCTGGATCTGCACACGAAAAATATGTGCAGGAAAGGGCATGAGTACACCACAGCGGTACCCAGTAAGTGCCAAGCCTAACCTCGGTCGGGTAGTGACGATATCAGGTCAGCCCTACTGGTTATATATATATGACATGGTAAAACAGTATGAAATATGACAGTATAATTAAAATACTAACAATCAATAAAAGATGAAATCACAGAAAGAAATAACTCAATACACAGAGATAGCAACAGGGGATCTCCTAGGATAACGTCCCGTAGTCCCAAAAGTAAATGTGCAGGGGAATCTCCCGGAATACTGTTCCGTAGTCCCAAAGTAAATATCCAGTACATGGGGATCTCTCGGGATACCGCCCCATAGTCCCAAAAATAAATATGTAGAGGGATCTCCCGGAATACCGCTCATAGTCCTAAAGTAAAGATGTAGGAGGATCTCCTGGAATACCGTCCCGTAGTCCCAAGGTAAATACACAACCAACTCAGTATACACAACAGTCTCAAGAAGAAATCTACAGTTCTATTAAAGTTCGTATCAAATAAACAGGTAATTTCTACCCTAAACATGCTACACAGATTCCAAGTAAGCAGTTAGAGCAGATACGACAGTTAATTCACGTAAGCATGCTTCCCTAAGCTAAACAGGAGGCTTCATATACTAGTATTGCTCAATTAAAGGAAAACATAGATATTTACTTAATGAAAACCGGGTTTTTTAACAATTAGAACATGTACGCACTCGTCACCTCACGTACACGGCATTCATATAACAACAGTACCAAAATCCTAAGGGGAGTTCCCCCACACAAGGTTAGGCAAGCCATTTACCTCAAATCAAGCTCAAATCAATCCGATATCACGCTCTTGCCACGAGTATCCAACTCCGAGTGGCCCAAATCTAATCAAATCAATTACATAACGTAAATAAAATTACAAGCAACTAATTTAACTAATTAATTCAAAGCTAAGGTAACAAAATAGAAAAATGCCCAAAAATCCTCCCCGGGCCCACGTCTCGGAATCGGGTACAAGTTACCAATTTAGAACACCCATTCACACACGAGATCATTCATCCAAAAATTATTCAATTTCGACCCTTAAAATCCGATCAAAACCCAAAAATTCGATTGAGGAACTTTTCCTCCAAATTCTCATTTTTCCACTCAAATTCCTTGATTAGATGAGTAAAACAACAATAGATTGATGAAATATAAACGAAATAGGGTTAGGAATCGTTACCCACTGATTTTCTCTTCAAAATCCTCACAAAATCGCCTTCTCCCGAGCTAAAAATCGAATTTGATGTTATGAACTTCAAACCCTCAAAATTTCCTATTTCTGCCCAGCGATTACCGCATCTGCAATCCCGCACCTGCGGAAAAAGCATCGCAGGTGCGAAAGCCACTTATCCGGGCTGGGGCCGCATCTGCGGTCACTAGGCCGCATTTGCGGTTCCCCAGCCGAATTTACGGTCCCTAACGTACAAGTCCAAATCCGCTTCTGCGGTCCACTCAGCTGCTTCTGCGGCACCGCACCTGCGGTCCAAAATCCGCAGGTGCGAAAACAACAGGTTCAGCACTTTAGAAATTGCCTAAGTCCAAGTTCTCATCCGTTAAGCATCCGAAACTCACTCGAGGTCCCCGGGGCCTCAACCAAACATACCAATCAATCCTAAAATATCATACGAACTCAGTCGGGACCTCGAATCACATCAAACAGCGCTAAAACCACGAATCACCCTCCAATCCAAACTAATGAACTTGAATTTCCAAAATTCTACATCCGATGCCGAAACCAACCAAATCATGTCCGATTGACTCCAAATTTTGCACACAAGTCATATTCAATACTACGGACCAACTCCAACTTTCGGAATCGGATTCCGAAACCGATATCAAAAATTCCACTATCGGCCCGAAACTCCAAAAACTTTAGCTATTTCAAGCCTAAATAAGCTACGGGCCTCCAAAATACAATCCGGACACGCCCCTAAGCCCGAAATCACCCAATGGAGCTAAAGGAATCGACGGAATTCCATCCGTCTTCACACTGTTCCAGCTACGGTCTAAATTCTAAGTCTTAAGCTCACATTCAGGGACTAAGTGTCCCAAAATACTCCGAAACTCAAAATGAACCATCCCGGCAAACCACAATAGCAGGAAAAGACACAGGAAAAGTAGTTATTAGGGGATCGGAGCGTTAATTCTCAAAACGACCGGTCGGGTCGTTACACCACAACTTTTATTTTCTTTCATTCTCAATTGTATAAATAAATTTTTGAATTTTTGTTGTTAATATCAAAATTATTATTACAAATAAATTGTTCTAATTTAATTTTTACTATGCTTATTTTATTATTCCTGTCATATATGCTTAAATACTATTTTATTTTATGAATTTATAAATAAAATTTATAGGTAAGTGAATATATATTAAAAAGGAAAAAAAACATAAATATTAAAAAGTTTTAAAAAAAAAAGACAAAAATTAATAATTTATAGGGAATAATAGGTATATCAAAAGTTTGAGAAATCTGGTTGAGTCACCTTCTG